GCATCCAAAGCCACAGCACAGCTAGGACAGTTACTCTCATCTGCTCCCTTACCTCTGCTCCCTTACCTGCCCTTGACACAGATGATTCCATCTGCTCTCTTAGGCCAGCTACAACACCTCTGAAATATAAACAGGATTTTTACTGTATTTTGTGTAGTTAAGTAACTGCAGTGACAACTGCACCACTGAAGTACCTGCTACATCTGTTCATTGCTCACCTTGCCAAAAGCAGCTCTGGTCAAGTCCCGTGTTGTACACTGTGTTTCAGCTTTAACAACTGAAAACAGTCACAAGATAATCATTCAGCTGCCAGCATTAGCACCCATCCCTCAACAACACAACGGACCCCATTTACAACGTTATCATTTCAAAACAGCAGCCCCCTTGCCTCAGCACCTCAGAAGTAGATCAAGCCGAGCTGCCTACCGAGTGCTGGACAGTTCCAGAAGGAGTTCTTTCCTGTGACCAGTTCCTCCTAAGGTTTACACTCTACTGGGGACGGGAAAGAAATAAAAATAAAAATTTCAAAACCCCATATCTGTAAGCTTTCAAGATTCAACAGACCTCCTCAAGCACACTGTTCAAGCACTTTGCAAGCAGTTGCTCACAAGCAGCTCAACTATCCCACCTCCACATCTGCCAAACACCACAGAGATGACTGTGCCAGCTGCCCTTCAGTATGTGCCCAGAGGCAGACCAGATGTCTTTGCCAAAACAGTCCGGACAATGTATTAGTACACCCATGGGCTGCCACGTTAGCTGTCATCATACACATACAAACACAGGCACTCTACAAACATTACAAACAAAACACAGAACACAAGGCGCAAGAAAAAGTGACCCCCAGAGGGAAGCCCTACGGCAACAGCAAGTCAAATCAATTGCTCTGCAGCAGACCCAAGGAGAGACTCAAATGTCATGACATGCGACTGGAAGCAACTGCCAGAACTGGGATGATGGAGGCATAAAATGCCTGCCTTCAAGACAAGAGACCAGAAGGATGGGGATTGAAAACCCCATAGGAAGACATTTAAGAAATGAATTCCCAAGCAAGAGCTCCAGATGCGGCCCAGATGACTTCTGCAAGAGTGAGGATGGAAACAGATGCGATCTGAAACAGAGTATGATGCACAAGACCTGAAATAGTTCTGCACTTTAACCAGCGACTGCAAGACAAGAAGAACCATGATGACAAAACAAGCATTTAGGACCTTTGGCACAGCTACCAACTCCCCTGTCTAGTCAGTCCAGTGCAAAAAGCAAGAAGGATATCAAGATCCAAGGAGAGCATAACTCAGAACACACACTGCAGAAGCAACACTACAAGACAGATCAACAGAAGGGCACTGTTCTGCCTGGTGCGCGCACTCACACTACAAAATACCCCCTGCTTCTTCTATTAGCCTGGTGACCCAGCCACAACCAGCCTGAACGTGACTCAGCCTGAACCGCCCTCACAGTAGCACCGAGTATATTGAGCCCACTGGCTCCATGCTGCTCTGGCTCCCAGCTCCCATAAGCCACCCCAGATATGCAAATACCAGGTGCTGCTCAACTTAGCCCTAAGATTACTGGATGGTAAATTACCTCCACCTCAAGAAATGCACAGGCACTGAAAGACATCTTAGTCAACTGCCGGGCTCATCATCATCTGCAAAAACAGAGCACCAGCATTCACTAGCATGCTGGCCCTGATGCCCACCTCCTCTGCAATGCTGACTACTACTGATGCAACATACAGTTGTGCTCACCTGTTCCTCTTCGAGTTCAAGCCCCAACAGTGCAGCCAGTATCACCCACACCACCTGGGAAAACAAAGGGATTAAATGATCGTTGTGTTCTCAACAAATCACCCACCACACTGCTCCTCTATCCCAAACAGCCTCACCTCTGTAATATATAATAAATGTTTGTTCATTGTCTTTTGTATTACAAGGACAAGGAGTCTTGCTTGAAAAAGTGGGGGTAGTAAAGGTCTCCTGCTGAGATAAGAAACTGTAAAATGCCTGAAATTCCTTTACTTAATGTAATGAGAGAGGGCCCTTAAACCGGCAAGGGGGAGGGAGTTTCCTCCCCTTCTCCCCCCCTCGCATCCTAGTTCCATCTTTTGTTTAAAGTCACTGTTGCAAAGCTCCTCTAGCCATTCCTGATAAGCTGCTGAGCCGGCATGATAACATTCTGCCTTCCTGCTTCATGCTGGGTCAACATGACCTAGTGAGGAAAGGAAGTCGAGCCAGGAAGACTATGGCCTTCATCTTCACGACCACCAGAGGGACAGAGACGACCCCCTAGCAACAGCGCGCGCAGTCGCAGAATATACCAGGATGTGCTGCGTAATCCTGGAATTACCAAGATATAAAAAGGGACCCTGGCGGGGGTGAGATGCGAGCCGTTGGCTGATTAAGGAGGTATTGGGGAGGCATTGGGGAGGCAAGGACAATCCCCAGACATGGACTGTATATCTCGAAACAAGACACTGGAACTCATGATAAGGAAGTGGCAGACGGACAGAGAAACAAACGTAAGGACTATAAATCTCAAAACTGGACATTGGAATTCATTATAAAGATACAACAAACGGAAGAAGTGGCAACAACCAGCTCTTGCAATTAAGAAACGTGCCAATTCAGCAGATTCCTGACCAAAGGTGAAAAGTACACTGTGAGGAAGACTCGGGGTCTTCCTCCCAGAGACCCCTGCCCACGTCCCAAAGACCTCTACCCACAATTCTTGGAAGGCTCTACGCAGGCGCAAGGTGCCAAAAGGCTTATTAGCATGAGAAGCGAGGGAAGGCGGGGATAGGTAATGCATATGTATAGGTGCTTGTAGAATATTGATAGATTGATTGTATAAATTCAAGACTGCTTTCCGCTTTGGGTATGCACGATAGGTGGAGAGATCCCCCGTGCATCCAGCGCTGCAATAAAGAATATACCACTTAAAGGAATTTCGGCTTCGATCTCTGAATCATGGCGGAGCAGAGATTCCCCTGCCGCCCAGCGCTGTTTTGCTTGCTGTTTGCTTACTCAATAAATTCTTTTATATGATTAATACAATGCCCTCTGAAAATTAATTAAGGGAGCAACTTATAACACCTCAGACCCTCAGCAGATTCTGAGCAACGCCTACCACAGCACCACTAAAACACAGGGGAAGCACTTCAGAGACTTGCCTTAGGGGGACCCTTGCTTAGGGACACTGACTGGGCTGACGACCCTCCGCCTTTCCTCAGCACTCCGGAGAGGATTCACCTCTCCGAGACTACAAGAAGCAGCCACAAAAGAAAAAAAAAAAGGCAGATCCTCAGGCACCTCACAGGCACAGCCTACCTGCTGCAATACCTCTCTTTCACTAGCTCTTCTTCAGCTCCTCACAGCTTCAATGCGGCCGGCCCAGGGCGAGCCGGCACCACGCGGCGGCGGCGGGGGAAGTGGGCGGCGGGAGGGGGGGGGAGGGCCGGCACCACGCGGCGGCAAGGGGGGCGGCGGGCAGCGGAGGGTGAGCCGGCGGCAGGACGCAGCGGCGGCAGGGGGAAGGGGGTGGGGCAGGGCGGGCCAGCCAGAGCAATGCAGGAAGCCATCTCTGCCCCCCAAACCAGAAACAGTAGTCAAAAACTACAGAACCGGGACTGCAAACCACATGGAGCCAGACTCCCAAACCGTATGAACACACACAAGCAAGAGACTGAGGGCCATGATGGCTACCATCAAGAAAAGCAGACAACATCAAGCTCTTGAGAGAGATCAGCCTTTCCAAGTCCCAATGAAAGACAAAAACTGCTTCATTACTATACCCTTGCCAACAATACATTTAAGACCCGTGATATGGTGCTCAGCAAGCACTGCAGAAGCCAACAACTATGGGAACAAGACCTGGTACTGGATACTATTGACAGCATTAAACTAGGATGCTACTTAGTGTCTTTGCTAACTATGGTGCATTATGCAAATTAACTACAGCAAGAAGCCTTGGGCCCCTTACCAAGGTCAGTCTTAATGAGAGATTGAACCTATCTTAAGAGACTAGCAGAAACTGGTCCTGTGGATGGACAAGAGCCAAGGAGCAACTGAGTCTGCTCAAAGACAAAAGGTCGACTAGTGGTGACAAGAAAGTCAGCAATCTTCATCCCCACAACCCCCGAAGACCACCACCAGAATACCCTGTGCAAGTGCAGATGGGAGGAGTTTATGGAAATGACTCCTTGGAACTAATGTTAATACAAAGTGGGGACAGGTTATGAATATGTATAGGCGTATTGTGAACCTTCATTAAGATGTAACTTTACTGCATATAACCATGGCAATTTGCTGCGTCAGGTGCGCACAACTTTGGTGGGACTACCCCCGTGCTGCTCAGCGCTGAATAAACATACCTACTTTACAATCTGTGGAGTCCGTTTTCCACAAGTCAGTCCCTCCTTCATATTAAAATTAGTATGCGTATCGGTCTCCGGTGGTCCCTCTGGGGGTCACTCGTACTGAAGGCTTGTAGTCTTCCTCCCAGGCTTTGTCCTTTGGTCATTCTTCAGCTTCCCCCTCTCTCCTTATTTGGTCATCTCTTAGCTGGATATCAGAGCCCCATGCAGAGCCCCATGCAATAGTTTGCAGTTATTTTGAAACCCCTTTGTTCTCTTATCCCAGATATCAGAGACTTGTCCCATGTAAAAGTCAGCAGATTTTGGAAAGTCTTTTGTTCTCTTATCCCCTAGACCCCAGTCTCGAGGTTTACCCTTCAAACCCTCTTTGACATGAACTGCTAGACCATTCTTTTGCAAGATACAAGAACTATATACATTAACCACTCTGTTTCTCATAGACTTGTGGTTATGCAAGAGTATGTAAGACAGAAGATCACATTTATATGTAAGACAGAAGGTCACATTTCATCAGCGAGCTTCCTTGGTTAAGAAATGCCTCTAGTCTGTGACTAAAAAAGAACCATTTGTAATAAAAACTGACCTCCGTACCTAACCCCTGCCCTCGGAAGACTTTCAACTACGAGTGGAGGCACCGCCTCCAGCCGGCTGAGGGCGCCGCTCCCGCAGCCGTAGCGAGGCCGAGGCGGGGCCGGGAGCTCGCACCACTGTGGCGGGCTGGAGCCGGCGGTCATGGCGGCGCTGCTGGAACACGAGAGCCAGATCTTCCTGGACCTCTTCCACCAGGACGGGCTGGTGGTGTGCGCCCGCGGGCTCGGCATCGACCGCCTGCTGCTGCGCTTCCTCCGCCTCTACAGTGAGCCCGCCAGCCTGGTGCTGGTGCTGAATACGAGCCCTGCCGAGGAGGTGAGAGGAGAAGGAGGAAGGACCGATGGAAGCGGCTGCCCGGGCCCGAGCAGAGGGTGCCCGCCGGCTGCTGCCGCCTTGGAGATGGGGTTTGGCGGCTGGGGGCTCTTCCGCGGCGATTTGGCGGGCCGCGACGGGCCCTTGTCACTTCTTGGGCCATAAGTTAGTATTGCCTGCTCCCTGAAAAAAAAGAGCTGTTAAAATACAGTGAAAAACGCAAGATAAAATTTTCAGGGTACTTAAGATCCATCGAGTGTCAGAGGCTTGTACTTTCTTAAATATTATCTAACTTCTGTTGAAAATACTAATATTTCTAAGTGAAACCCTGAAAGGGTTTGAAACTTAGCAAACTAAAACATCAAAATAAAACATCACCATAATTCTGACTTCCTTACCTAGTATCTTATACTGTCATGTTTTTATGTCGTGGACAGCTCTGCAAAACTAATGAAATAAGACTAATTGCAATTCTTTCTGAATCCATTTCATCAGTTGTCAGAATGAAATCTGTTGTGGTTTTACTGCATTTGTTTTAGGAGTATTTTATTGATCAGCTGAGGTCAGACGGAGTTGTTCATCTTCCTCGGCGGGTTACCAATGAGGTTGCAAGTAACACTCGCTATGAATTTTACATGCAAGGAGGAGTTCTCTTTGCAACAAGTCGAATCCTCGTGGTAGATTTCCTTACTGACAGAATTCCGGCAAACCTCATTACTGGTAAGAGCTTAATGAAGTCAAGCCATGACTGAAAATACATAATGTGTAATTCTGTTGAAAGAGTCCGACTGACTGATGTTGAGGTTGAAGATTTTTTTTTTTTTTTTACAGAGGACTAAAGTAAAAGGAACAAATATGTAGGTTTTTATTTGTTTGTTTGTTTTTTAGTGGTCATCTTTGCTCTAAACTTGTTTGCATTATTTAATTGCACAATTTGAAAACATCCACATTCTTTTTAGGTAGTGAGTAATATCCCTGTATGGCTTTCTGATATCAATAATAAAATGGAAAACAATCAGCAGTTAAACTATGCCATGACGTAAGAAACATGGAAATTCAGAGTGGCTGCATTGCTTTCCAAGGAAAATAACTGATTATACTTGAGAAAATAGTGTCCAGAATACTCGCAGTAAATGGCCCATGATTGAAACTGATGTTAGATTGCATATTTATCAACCATGCACACTTGCTGTTTTTTGCGTTAATGAATTAGTTGTGATGATTTTTCCCATCAAGTAAAATAACAATGTCTTACTAATCGTCTTGTAACATCTTGGATGCTGTCTAAATAACAATATTATGAAATAATGTTGTTAAAACTTTTTAAAGATTTTTGGGCATAGCTGTGAATTTAATTGTTGTTGTATAGAAGTTACACATGAAAGATGCTCCAATTGTCTTTTTCTCTAATGTTCTGGTTCCCCTCTCCTCCTGACCTCAGTTGTTCTTATGTTTTTGTCTAAGCTGGAAACCCTCTTACAGCCTGGAGAGCTAGTAAAACAGGTGCTTGAAAGTATAGGAATATTTTACGGTATATAAATATTAACATCTTTATAACGTTTAAATGCAACAGAATACTAACTGTGTAGAAGAATGTAAGTGTTTGCTTCATAAGCTGTATCTCCTTCCTTTTAGTCAACCTTTAGAACCCAAATCTGTGAAACAGATTGAACAGCTTCATGCTAGGGCAAAAGGACCTAGACTTGTGTCAATTCTGTTTTTTCCAACTAAAAAAAAAAAGTTTCTGGGCACCTCCTTCAATTTCTGTTCTTCCCGTTGGCTCCTTCCTGTTCACCTTTCCCTCTTATCCTGAGGAAATACAAAACAAAATAAAACAAAACACATCTTTGGGTTTTGTGTGGATGAAAGGAATAAAAAACTAAAAATTTTTTTTTTTACTGATCTGAAATGACACAGAGTTGTTATGCTCGTCGTAATGCCACTGGAGGTCAGTGTGACAGCAGTTTTTACAGACTTGGTTTAAAGTTTGGGTAACGCACGTTTCTATTGGAAACATACTGTGTGTGTGTGACAAAACCAAAAAAGCTTGTAATAGTGTTTCTTGAGGAACTAACAGCAAAAATACAGTAAAGTGTTGGTAAGTGTTAGAAATCCTGTTTATAAAATCACTGAAGAATCACATGTGAATGAACAGCTCATAAACTCGTAAATTCAGCGGAATGAAAATAAGAAATTATCGCTGCAATGCACAAGTACTTCTGGTGGTTTGGGCCAAATAGAAATGCTGTAGCAAATAGTATAGTCTCATTGGCCTGTAACAAACTCTGTCTCCTGTAATGTCCATTCAGTCACGTCTTGAGAAGCTTGATGATATTCAGAAATGAGTGTAATTGTTACTATGTCCTGAAAAACATGACTTTGTGGGAGAAATGTGTTAATACTTTATCCATCTTTCAGTGACTTGATCGTGAATGATTAGCAGTTGAATAAAAATCCTTTTCATATAGATGCTTTCTAATTTACAAAACAAAGACATAGCAAAATCAATGGCTAGATGCTGAGATGAAGACACTTGCTGTAGAAATTAGATGCACTGTAAATTTGTCAGCTCATCAAGGTACATAATGAAGCGTTTGTTTGATGTCTTTTGCTTCCATTTTCAAAAGGCATTTATTACTCCATTGAAGCTGTGAACAGGTAAGTGTCACATAGGCCTTGTCTCTAGGGGCAGAGTGGAAAAAATACAATGTGCTATTTTACACAATTAAGTATGAGGAAGAATAAGCCTTGGTTTTAAAAGGTTTTGGCTGAGTGAAATGTAAATCCCAAAAGTGTCTACATCAATATGCTTGATGTAGTTCAGCTGTTGTTTCATTTCTCTGTACTAAAATGTGTACGATAAATCTTTTTTTCCTAATACCCATAGCCATTAAGAAAAATGTTGGTGTAATCACTCAGTTTAAGGTCCCTTCCGTCCTCAAGTAGGAATATGTTCACAGAAGGGGGGAAAAAGCACCAGAAATGTTTTTAGAAGTTCTTTGAGTATCACAAATACTTGAACTGCTATCAAAAAAAGCATATTTGACAACTCTAACTACAGAACTTGTGTAATAAAAGAATTCAAAACTCACGGTCTTGAACTTATCAAACTTGTATTGCAGAAATACTGTTACATCTTGCATTTGCTCTTCTCCCTGTCAAAAAGCATGAATTCAAGTGTTCGAGTTTTTTTTAAGAGTAAAGAATTTTCGAAGCTGTTAGGTCCTGCCATTTGAATGCAAGCTTTTTTTTGGCTCAAGATGCATCATTAACCCAGCTCTGTTACTGGGAGATTCCATGGTACTGAAACTGAGGAATCACTTGGTTTGAACTCTTAAAAGTTTGTTCAGTGTCATTTTAGATTGAAATTCCTATTGTACTTTATTTAACAAAAGCAGAAGAGTAAGACAGACTTGGAAAACGTATACAGTATTCAAGTTCTCTTTACTACTTTGTAACTTGGAAACCTTTTATTTTGCCAGGCATTTTGGTATACAAGGCACACAGAATCATTGAGTCCTGTCAGGAAGCATTTATCTTACGGCTTTATCGCCAGAAGAACAAACAAGGTTTCATTAAAGCTTTTACAGATAATGCGGTTGCATTTAACACTGGCTTTTGCCACGTGGAAAGAGTGATGCGAAATCTTTTTGTCAGGAAACTTTACCTGTGGCCAAGGTAAGATACTTCTTTATTTCATTGAAATCTTATAATTATTAAGGTTGCTACTATGGATTCCTAACAAAATGAGGTTTATGTAGCCAAACTGCTTATCTCCATTCCCTATTTGTATTCTGGAACTAATTTCATTCAATTTGTGACAGAATAAATGTCACATACCTAAATTTCTATTTTCGAAAATAGACTTGAATTAAAACTTTAGGAGGCTGAACCTTACAGTATAGCTGTGCTTTTAGCCAGTAGAAATCACAGCAGAAAGTGATAAGCTAAATAGCTTAAGAAAAACATAATTTACTGAACAGATAATTTAAACCATGAAGTAACAGGAACACAGTCTCACAGTTTCACTGTTCATAGAAGTATATTTTTTTCTGATTGTGGCGAAACTCTATGGATATTTATTTCTTTGTACCAGGTTGTGTTTTGTTTTAATTTTCCTTTTAATGTATGTGATATATAAAGAATATTTCTTGATGACTGAAGGAAACCAAGCTGCCAAGTCTGTGGCATGCATTAAGTCTTCCAGGAGCAGAGCCTGAAATAGGACTGGGCAATTCAGCTGATTACACAGTCAATGCTCTTGCTTTGAGCAGGAGGTCTGCCTATTTTTTTTTTTTGTCCAGTCTAGAATGTAGATCTCATGTACTCGCGCTCTGCATTATAAACTCTATCTTTTGGAATTACAAAGATGCAGAAATGAACAACACAAAGTTCTCTGAATTTTCCTCCTTGCCTTCTGAACCATGATAAGACCTGAGGGTGCAGCACAAAGTAAGGAAAATGCTCGTTGAGTTTCAGAGTTCTTCAGACGTAGTGTTCTTCTCCGTGCCTTATTCTGTTTGTAAAATCAGCTGGCACCTTTGTAACTGCATGGTCAGATTGGCGTACAGAGGCTGTGTTGGAACAAGGAACTGCTGCTTATCCAAAGCTGGGGATGTTAAATTATCTGCCAGCAGATCCATGTGACTCCAAGGGATTTGTGAGCCCATTACATTTTCTTCCTTATGAGGTTTTTGTTGTTGTTGTTTTTCCTTTGAGGTTTGTTACTTGTAATGATGATGCGGAATCTAGTGCAGTAGTTCTCCATGGATCAGTCACCATAGTTACAGACTCACATGCCTAGAATGAGAACAGTCATAATCATGAAATCATCAGATGGTTTTATGAGACCATTCATAAGACTGCAGTCTTTGCATCTGTAGAAGTGGATTCATCTCGCATTTAGCTTACTTTACATTTAAATCATTTGTAACTTTAGTTTATATGATCTTCTTTATAATTATGGTATCAAGCAAAACATTCATGTGAAACGTAATAAGCTGTTTTTCCTCATAGATTTCATATAGCAGTGAACTCATTTTTAGAGAAGCATAAACCTGAAGTGGTGGAAATACATGT